GGGGCCCGTGGAGGACCCCGGGGAGACCAGAAACTATCTAAAAAAACCTCAGAGCCCGCCTCCCTCAGGACCCCTTGTCAGGGGACCACATGCGATCCCTACAGGGCAATTTTTAATACATGGGATGTTTGAAAATATTTGTCATTAATGCATGATTAATCGATGGATCAATTTACGCATGAACTCATCGTTGTTTTTAGTACTAAATCCCTGCATTTCAAATACATGATCCGCACGCGGAGCATGTATTCAAAAAACGGCACTGTATTACAAAAAAAAACCTGAGAGCCCGCTTTCCTCAGGACCCCTTGCTAGGGGACCACATGCAAACCCTGCCCCTACCCCCACGATTTCTGAGGGGGAGGGTGGGGTTCACTTCGTCCGGGAGCTCCCGAGCGAAGTGACCCCCACCCTCCCCCCAGAAATCGTGGGGGGTAGGGGGTAGGGTTCGCATGTGGCCCCCTACTTGTCTTCACGGCGGGAACGGGGGGGGAGGGCGGCGGCGGCCCCGCATGAGCAACGAGGACGGACGCACCTTACGCGAGGAAGCGCAGCGACCATACGCCGCGGCTCACGGGGGTCGCCCGCGCGGCGCGCTACATTGGAAACGAGGGCGCCTCCGCGCGACCGTACCCCAGAGGCCTGCGCGAATGTCCGCGCAATCGCTCTCGAGTTCCCCCGTCGCTCACACGATGGCGATCACGTAGTTCCGACGGCAAAGACTACATTTGTTTAGCTGCCGAGGGACACCTGGCTGCTCCCGCCGGCCCCATCGACTCCAACATTACCAGCCTCGAACGTACATCGACGCCAAAAGGCGATGACAATCTTAGGGATTCGCCCTCAAAAAAAAAGGGAATCCCTAAGATTGGCATCGTGATGAGGAGGTGCCCAGCATAGGGATATGTTCCAGGCTGGTAACAGCCTCCTCTGCGCAGGCCCCACTTGCTCCAACTCCACCCAGCAGGCCTGGAGGTAAAACAGGGTCGAGGACGCGGGGAGGGCGGAAGCCCCACACGACGGCGACCAACGTGAGCACGGAGAGAGAGGCAGAGAGACAAGTAAAGTTAAGTCGGGCGTGTCCCCCTACAGGGGGATTTTCGACGGAAAAAAAAACAAAATACCCCAAGAGGGTCAAAAATACTCAGAAAATAGTCCCCAGACTATTTTTGGAATATTTTCTGATTTTTTTGTGTTTTTTTTTTCGCCGAAAATCCGAATGTAGGGGAACAGGCCCGACTTAAAAGTAAAGCCGTGCATGTCAGAGGTGCAATGGCAGGATGGTGAAACAAGCCGCTGCAGCACAGCTCCGGCAGCTCTGCTGCGGAAAACAAATGTGAAATCACAGACGCAAGCGCTCTTACTCCCGGGTCCCTGCGGATCTTGACGTACGCTTCTAAGTACCCGCAGAGGCACGGTAGGGACCAACGGCGAAGGGCGCGGGGAACAGGGAACTGGTCTATCAATACTCAAACATGACATGATGGCTGAAGGGTTCAACGAAGTGGATTTTGTAAAATTAAAAATATAAAAAACACAACAACAACAAAAAACACGAGAAGGTTGACATCATGGCCTGTAGGTCGGCACTCAAAGTGGCCGCTGTCCGAGAGCAGGCGCGCAAACTGTTTGAGTCTAGGAAGGATGCGAGTGAGACGACAAGGGCGACCTAGGGCGAGGGCGAGGACGGAGGAAATGAAGGATGGAGGAAATGGCACAAGGCATCCGAGACCAGGAAAGGTATTGCTTTGCGACGCCTTGCCGCGCCCTGGCTCCCTTGAACCAAAGGCTGTGCAGGGCCTCCAGGCTGCCGGCGCCTCTGCGGGACATCTCGTGACCACGAAGACGAAGACCACATGTGTTCCGCCCCTCGAGCAGCGCAGTCGAGCTTCCTTCCGCCGCAATCGGCCCCGAACTTCAGCGCAAATGTCGGCGCAGTCGACACCGTTTTTTTTCCGTCGCTCACGCGATGGCGATCGCATGGGCACGATGGTGAAGACTCGCTGCCCAGCCGCTGAGCCACGCCAAGCCCCCCTCGCCGGCCACCGATCATGGCGGTAGCGGCGGTCACGCGGCCATGATGGCGAAGAAGATGACGACGGTGGTGGTAATGATGGTGGTGGCAATGGTGATGGTGATGGTGATGGTGATGGTGATGGTGATGGTGATGGTGATGGTGATGGTGATGGTGATGGTGATGATGATGATGATGATGATGATGATGATGATGATGATGATGATGATGATGATGATGATGATGATGATACGGACTCCCCCCCCCCGCAGTCTTGCTGGATCTGGCTCAGCTGGCTGCGAGCTCTTGCACCCAGCCGTGAGGACGCCAGGCGCGCGTGGCGATTGTGGTGGTGATGTTGATGGTGAGGATGTTGATGACGACGACGATGCTGATGATGATGCTGATGATGCTGGATGATGATGCAGATGATGATGATGATGATGATGATGATGATGATGAAGATGATGACGATGACGATGATGCAGATGATGATGATATTGATGATGACGACGATGATGCTGATGATGCTGATGACGATGGCGATTCCGATGATGATGATAGTGATGATGAGGATGACGATGATGCAGATGATGATGATGATGATGATGATGATGATGATGATGATGATGATGATGCAGATGTCGATGATGATGATGCTGGTTATGATGCTGATGTTGATGATTGCGATAATGATGATGATGATGATGATGATGATGATGATGATGATGGTCCTGATGATGATGCAGATGATGATGATAGTGATGATGATGATGATGCTGATGATGATAGTGATGATGACGATGACGATGATGCAGATGGTTTTGTTCTGATGATAGTGATGATGATGCAGATGTCGATGATGATGATGCTGATGATGCTAATGATGATGCTGATGATGACGATCATGCTGATGACTATGGTACTGATGATGATGCAGATGATGATGATGATGATGATGATAATGATGATGCTGATGCTGATGCTGATGCTGATGCTGATGATGATGATGATGATTATGATTATGATGATGATGATGATGATGATGATGATGATGATGATGATGATGATGATGATGATGATGATGATGATGATGAACCGATCGGGGCGGCCGCGGCAATCACGCGACCACGATGGCGAAGACTCTTTGCTCCGCCGCCGAGCGTCGCCCGGCCCCCCCGCGCCGACCGCCGGTGCGGCCGCGGGGCGCTCGCCGAGAGGCCCCCCCGCCGGCCGCGCGCATCGGCCCACAGACGCGCCGCAGCCGGCCCGCCCGCGCCGGCGAGCGCCGCCGCCGAGAGCCGCCGCGAGCAGCGCCGGCCGCCCCCGCCCTCGCCGGCCGCGCGGCGCCTGCGGGGGGCGGCCGCCCCGGGGGCGGGCGGGCGGGCGGGCCGCCGGCGGCGCGCGCGCCCGGAGCGGCGGGCGCGGCGCCGGGCCGCCTCGGCCTGGCGCGGCGGGAAGGCCCAGCCTGGTGTGCTCCTGCGCCGCCCTGGCCGGCACGCGGGCGCGCGTCGGGCGCTGCAGCAAGGGGGGGGGGGGGGGCCTGGGCCCCGAGGGGGCAAGGGGGGGGTCCTCTTGGGCCACCCCCCTGCTCCTCCTGCTCCTCCTCCTCCTCCTCTCCTGCTCCTCCTCCTCCTCCTCCTCCTCATCTTTCTCCTCCTGCTCCTCCTCCTCCTCCTCCTCCTCCTCCTCCGCAGGGAACGTTTGATGCTCTCCGAAACGGAAGAGCAAGAACGCCCTGGAAGAAAGCCCTAGGCAGCATGGGTGATCTTTGGCCCCTCGGTGCTGTCCGGGGAGGCCTCTTGGAGCCCACTTGGGGGCGCCTTCGGGACCTCTTGGGCCGTCTGGGGGACATCCTGGGCGCATTGGAGCGATATTTGGGCGACTCGGGGCCCTCTTGGATGGTCTTGGGGGCCTCTTGGGGCCCAGTTGGCCCGTCTTGGGGCCGTCTTCGGCTGACGGCCAAAATCCTGCACCTCTGATGCTGATTTTTGCGAACACCCCAGCGCCGCCACTTCTACGGTGGCGGGCTGCGCCGCAATGAGTCGATCTGTCGGCGGACCGAACTCCTGCGCCCCGCTTGCGATGCCAACCGACATTGAATCGGAGGCAGGGCGAGGCGAGGCGAGCGCGCGAGTTCGGTCCAGCGGGACCGGCCCTCATAGGGCGGCGCGGGGGGGCCGGAGCCCTCAGGAGACGCGTTGGGGGCAGGAGTCGGAGCCGGAGCCGGAGAGAGGCAGGGGGTCACGTTGAAGTTTGCGCCAGCACCCCAGTCGCGCGGGCGGTGCAGGATGTTGTCCAGCAGCCAAGTGGCTTGTTGAAGAAAGGTGCGCCTTCTGAGCCCCTTTGGGGCCTACAGGGGGCCCCCGAGGTGTGCAAAAGCTGCACGTTTCTTCGCCCCCCCGTTGATCCCCCCCATTGAGCAACGCCCAAATCGGGCGTTGCGAATTGAGGGGGGGGGCGACGCACGGGGGTGCGACGAGACGTGCGTCTGTCGTTCCCCTTTGTGGCTCCAGGGGTCGCATCTAGGCCCCCCAAGGCAGAAGTGCAGCGAGCTGCACCTTTCCTCGCCGCCCCCGTGTATGGCCTTCCCCCCCTCGCCATCGCTCGGACGTCCATTCCTTGCGCAAGCTCTTGCTGCTTCTGCGTGTCTTGCTTCGCAAGATGGCCCAACACGCTCCTTGATTGTTCTAGGGGAACGAAAAATGGCATAAACATTAAAAACTCGGAGATCCGCGCGGATTTCTTGGATCTGCGCTGGACCCCCCTCCCTGGCGCGCGGAGCGCGCCAGGGGCGGCTCCGGAGGCGCCGCCAGGGGGCCCCAGCACCGATCCGAGAAATCCGCGCGGACCTCCGAGTTGTCATGTTTGTGTCATTGTTCGTTTCCCTATGTTCACCACGACAGAACATACACGCGGAACAAAAATGCACGCGCCCGAGCGATGCCGAGCCCGCTTGCGCAGCGCCCGAGGACTTGGGGGGCGGCTAGCGGCCGCCATGCGCCCCGAGGGCGCCGTGCCGGCGGGACGCCTCTTCGCCCAGGGTCCTCTCCCAGCACTGTCGACTACACGCAGGAGTGACCCTCCTCCCTCCTCCGTCCTCCCTCCTCCCTCCTCCTCCCTCCTCCCTCCTCCTCCCTCCTCCTCCTCCTCCTCCTCCTCCTCCTCCCCCTCCTCCTCCTCCTCCTCCTCCTCCTCCTCCTCCTCCTCCTCCTCCTCCTCCTCCTCCTCCTGGGTACAGTCAACCCGTAGCATAATAACGCACGATATGGATGCAAGGGCCGTGCAATGCCATCTCGAAGCGTTTGGAGGCAAGGGTACAGGGACACCCTTGGAAAGGTTGCCCATCCTTACCACTATGCGGGTTGACTGTAAGAGCGACCTTTGGTGCGCGGCTTTTAGGAGGCCGCGGGTGGGGCCAAACCCAAGCGCGCAAGGCGCTGCTGCCTCATCGCGTTCAGCGATCGGCGGCCCCAGGTGGGCCCGCACCAGAGGTCACTCCGGCGAAAGGTCACTCGTACGCGTAGCCGATACAGTCTCTTCTGCATTGTCGTCACCTGTCGTCGCAGGCTGCTGGCCGCCAGCGTCGTTCGTCGTTGCTTGTCGTCGGCGTCGTCGTCGTCGTCGTCGTTCACCGTCGTTCGTTGTTGCTCGTCGTCACTTGTCGTCGGTTGTCCCCGTCGTCGACGTTCGTCGTTCGTCGTTCGTCGGTCGGCGTCGACGTTCGTCGTCGTGCTTCGGGCGTTGCTTAAATGTGGGGGGAGGCGATAGGGGGGGGGCGAAGAAACGTGCACCTTTAGTGCCCCTTTGGGGCCCCAGGGGGCCCTTGTAGGGCCCCTTTAGGGCAAAAAAGGTGCACTTTTCTTCAACACTCCCATCGCTCCCCCATTGCGCAACGCCCGAGGTGGTCGCCCAGAGTCCTCTGCCGGACGCGGCGCAGCCACTCCTCCCTCGTCCGGGGATCCAGCGGCGCCTGCCGCAGCGCCTGGGTGGGGGCCTCCTCTCCCGACTTCAACTCCGCGTCGTCGGCTCATGCTCATCCACCTCCTCCGCGCCCCCCTCGTACTGATCCTGGACTTCTTCCCGACGGCACCGAAGAACGAACGCCACAGCGAGGCACTGAATTAAAAAGTGGAGAAGGAGAAAGAGGAGGAGGAGGAGGAGGAGGAGGAGGAGGACCAGTGCAAACCCAAGAGTCATCAACGATGTTGGAATTAACCCTCCCTCCAAGCTCCCTCTTCATAGGCCCCTACAACGGTTCATTTCCATTGAGGGAACTGCCTCGTTGGAAAACAACCGTTTGAAGACCTTGAAGCATGCCAAAACATTGTTCCCGGGATTTCCACGCCACGGATCAACCTGCCTACTGCGTACTGACGATCTGGAATCGTGCCAGAAGGCCATTTATGGGATTTCAGCACCGCGAATCAACACAGCTGTTGCACCCGCATGATCCTGAACCCTTCCGAAACACCAGCTCTGGTAGGCTGATCATGGAATCCGTGACACGTTGGCAAGTTCTGAAAACGAATGTGCGCCGCGCTAAGGCGAGAACAATATTTTGAAAAGGAACCGCCCTCGATCCGTGAAACTCTTGCAATGCTTGAAAACGAATGCAAGCAGCGCTAAAGCGAGAGCCACAGTTTGAAAACCATCCGCCCTCAATCCGTGAAACGCATGCAAATGTTTAAAACGAACGTGCGCCGCGCTAGGGCGAGAGCCACGTTTTGAAAATGACTCGCCCTTGATCCATGAAACTCTTGCAAATCTTTGGAATGAACGCGTGCCGCGCTAAGACGAGAGCCACATGTTGAAAACCACCCGCCCTCAACCCTTGAAACTCTTGCAAGTGTGTAAAAAGAATGTGCGCCGCGCTAAGACGAGAGCTACATGTTGAAAACCACCCGCCCTCAATCCATGAAACTCTCGCAACTGTATTTCTATAAAGAAAGAATGTGCGCCGCACTAAGTCGAGAGCGCCACTGTGAAAACCATCCGCCCTCCATGTGCGAAACTGTTGACAATTTGTAAGCTTCAGAATCATAAATGCTGAGGAGGTCTCAGGCGAAACGCATGGCACGCCCTAAAAACTGGCCTCGGGGTGCGACATGGAGAAATCCGGAAAAGGAACGGAGGAGGAGGAGGAAGAGAAGGAGGAGGAAGAGGAGGCGAGAGAGGAGGGAAAAGGAGGAGGAGAAGGATTTTTATCCTCTCCTCCTCATCCTCCTCCTGGACTCCTCCTCCTCCTCCTCATCCACCTCCTCACTCCTCCTCATGCCCCTGCTCCTCGTCCCCCCCTGGACCTCCTCCACTGCCTCTCCCTGTCCTGATCCCCCGCTCTCCTCTCCCGTCCTCCTCATCACTGCCCGCCACCCCAGTCCTCGCACTCTCCCTCGCTCTCCTCCTCGTCCTCCCGCGCCTCCTTCTCCTCCTCCTCCTCCTACTCCTCCTCCTCCTCCTCCTCCTCCTCCTCCTTTCCTCCTCCTCCTCCTCCTCCTCCTCCTCCTCCTCCTCCTCCTCCTCCTCCTCCTCCTCCTCCTCCTCCCCCTCCCCGTCGGGCAACTTCACGACCACACGGTGCCTGCGCGTGGCCGGGCTGGCTGCAGAACGAACCAGCGGGGCCTGCATGAAACCGCCAACTGCCCCGATCGCCGCCAGACGAGCACGGACCACCGCGACTTGCTGGAGGCGGGCTGCCTCTCCCCCTTTTGGCACGAGGCGAAGGGATCCTGAGCGACACGGGTCCTGGACCCTGGTCTTTCGCCAGTGCCAGCCTTCCTCGAAAGGGCCCAGGGGCACAGAAGTAAACACACACACACACACACGACTCCCCCAGGACCCCCCAGATTCTGAACTATTTTCGGGGCGTTCGTCTTCCCCCCAACTCCCATATTTTCCAATATTTTCCTGGGGGTCGACTGTTCATTGTGTCTGTGCGTGTTTCTTCCCCTCATCCCGTTCGGCACCGCCTAATCCCCGGGCTCCGCCCGCTCTTGGCCGCGTGAGGCCCCGCCTGCCCTCGCCCCTATCTCTGTCAGTCCAAGCCGGGCGCGTCCCGCGGAGCTTTTAGCGGACGAGGCTCGCTCTCGCCCTGCAGATCATTGTGTCTGTGTGTGTTTCTTCCCCTCCCGAAGTGCCAGCCTGCATCCCGCGTTGCTCTCTGACGAGCCCCGGGCCCACGGAGGGCCCTATGGGAGGGCCCGAGGCTTGCCCACATCTTCCAGGCACCGTCTTCCTCGGGGCCCCTCTCCTTCCTGACGACGCCCACACTGAGGGGCCCTCCTCCTCCTCCTCCTCCTCCTCCTCCTCCTCTTCCTCCTCCTCCTCCTCCTCCTCCTCCTCCGCCTCCTCCTCCTCCTCCTCCTCCTGCTCGCCCTGCGCCTCCTCCCCCTCCTCCTCCCATGCGGGGCAACGATAGGGGGGACTGGCACAGGGGGGGGATGCATCGACCTGGAATCGGCAATACATCGCCGACAGATCGGCGGTAGGCCTCCGATGGTGAAGCCGCACCTTCCTGGGCAGGTTGGGACTATCGGGCCCCGATCGGGGATCAGTGGGCGATTGGGGATCGAGGCATCCCCCCCTGTGCCTATCCCCCCCTATCGTTGCCCCCGACATGCGTCGAAAACAACGCCCACACGGGACACGCCGGAAAAAGCTTTTCAAAGGCCTGCCCGACGACGCGCCCGGTGCCCCGGCCTGCCCTGCCCGAGGCGCGGCGCCGAATTCCCCGCCGGGAGGACGGGCTCACCTGGGTCAGCGCTGGCACGGGTCAGCAGATGCCATGTCGGGAGCCCGTTGACCAGTCGTGGCGTTGAGCTAAGGAACGATATAAATAAGGAACGAGGCCCCTTTTTTTCCCACAAGTTAACCTTCGATTTCCTGTCGAAAACATCAGGGAAGCCTGAGGCAAGCTGCGAAACACCTAAGGAACGCGGAGCCCCTCCCCAACGAAAAGGGTTCCTTCTTCGGGGCCCCGACTGCAGAAGACGCGCCGCCGTGGCTTGGGGGGGTTGGGAAGAGGAGTCGAGGACATCTGACGGTCCCGTGTGGCGTCTCCAGAGGGGGGCATCGCTGAAGATCGATGTGTGGGGTTCGAGGTGCACGCACGGCTCGGGGCTTGTCCTGCACCTTGAAGGGGACCGACAGGAGGGGAAGTGGATCGACGTTCTTGGACGTCTTGGGAACTTCTTGGACGTTCTTGGACGAAAAGGGTTCCTTCTTCAGGGCCCCGACTGTAGACTCCCACGCCCGGGTCCGCGGAGGGGTGGGGGTCGGGCTCCGGTGGCTCCAGAGCCCGGGTCGGCCAGGCCGGGGAGCGGCTGTTCCCCGTTGGCAGCGATCCCCATGTGTCTCCTCCCTCTCCCCCCTCGCCCCTACCCCTCCTCCCTCCTGCCTCCTCCCTCCTCCCGCCTCTTCATCCTCCTCCCTCCTCCCTCCCCCTACCCCTCCTCCCTCCTCCCTCGCCCCTACCCCTCCCTCCTCCCTCCTCCCTCCCCCTACTCCTCCTCCCTCCTCCCTCCTCCCTCCTCCCGTCTCTTCCTCCCACGGAGCACGACGGCGAGGGCAAAGCCCGTCGGCCCCAAGAGCGCCGAGGCCTGCGTTGGCGGCGCGCCAGTTCCGCGGTGCTTGGCGAGAGCCGCTCCCTGGCATGCGGATCACCCGTTGAAACCAAGCTAGACCTGAAATTCAAAAAAATACTTCGTCCTCCGTCCTCCTCGAAATTCAAACATGAGGACTGTGTCACCACGAGTGGTTGAAGCCCTCGACTATCCTCCTCCTCCTCCTCCTCCTACTCCTCCTCCTCTTCCTCCTCCTCCTCCATCCATGTTCCTTGTTAACAACTCTTCCGTACTTTTCCGTATGAGTGCCTCCTCCTTGTCGCACCCCCGAAAGTGTCGTTAGGGCAGGCAGGGCGTTTCCGTTGAGACTTCGTCAACATGTACGCCCTGAAGCCTCGAATTTGCAACAGCTTCAAGGATGGAACGGGGGGTCAAAATGTGAGTCTCGCCCTCGCGCCGCGCACACTCGTCTTCAACAAATGCAACGCTTTCAAGGAAAATGTGGTTCTCTCCGCAGCGCCGCGTACATTCGTCGCACAAGTTTGAAGCAGGTTCAAGGATGGGAGGGGGACATCTTCCAAAATCTGGCTCTCGCCGCAGCGCCGCGCACATTCCTTCGAGCATGTTACAATAGCTTCAAGGATGGAAGGCGGTTGCTTTCCAAAGTGTGGTTCTCGCCTTTGCGCCGCGCGCATTGGGGTGAATAGATGGTAACACTTACAAGGATTGAGCTCTGGTAGTTTTCAAACCAAGACCCTTGCCTCAACGCAACGCGCCTTCGTTTCCTTTTACAAAGCATCCAGCCATTGCGGCGGATAAGAGTGAGGGGGCAGCGGGGACGTCGGCTGTCTACGCGGCTCTGAAGAAGCCCGCCGCAGGCGCCAAATGTTTTAGATTCTACAACGAGTCCGCCGCAGGCGCCAAATTCTTCGTTTCGTTAAAGCAATGTGGGTGGGTCGCGGGTGGGTCGCAAGTGCGTGGCGGGAGGGTCGCGGGTAGGTCGCAGGTGGGTCGTCGGCCAGGTCGCAGGTGGGTCGCGGGTGGGTCGGGGGGTGGGTCGCTGGTGGGACGCGGGTGGGTCGCGGGTGGGTCGCGGGCCAAGTCGCGGGAGGGTCGGTGGGTCGCGGGTGGGTCGCGGGGTGGGTCACGGGGTGGGTCGCGGGTGGGTCGCGGGTGGGGTCGCGGGTGGGTCGCGGGTGGGTCGCGGGTGGGTCGCGGGCGGGTTGCGGGTGGGTCGAGGGTGGGTCGCGAGCCGAGTCGTGGGTGGGACGACGGCACCAAGCAACAACAACAACAACAACAACAACAACAACAACAACAACAAAACAACAAACACAACAACAACCATGATTTTAAAACTGTTCGCTCTTATCTGCTCGCGTGCCATTCAACACGTGTATCTCATACCCTCGATACTCGCCCTCTTCGTCTTCGATCGTACTCCCTTAGGTTTATACCTTGCTTACCCGCAACGTGTATGTCGTGCAGCCCTTAAGGCAGGGGATGAGAGTACAGGTGGAAGGCAAAGACAAGGGGCAGGCGGGTTGCTGAAGAGTGCGTCCTGCATAAATCGCAAGGAAGTGTCGAGCGATAGCGCGATTCCCAAATCAACCGCAAGGAAATCCACAGCGAGAGCGTGATTCCTGAGTGTGGAGGGCACAACGTCTGAATCACTTGCGAGGAAGTCCCAAGTGAGAGGGCGATTCCTGAATATATTGTGAAGGCGTCCCACGCGAGAGCACGATGTGGGAATACATTGTGAGGAGTGTTCCTTCGGAAGCCGCTGTTGTTGTAAACTGGGGGCAAAGGGGCCCAGTGGTGACATTCCATGTTTCCTTGTGAAAAAAACTAGGCGCGAACCCCATGGTGAACACTTATATTCAAAAATACGAATGGTTCCCAGAAGGGGATCAACATCTATTATTCTTTATATATAAGAATTCGACAACAACAACCAGCAGCAACAACAACAACAACCCGCACCGCGGAACCACACTTCAGCCACGCGCCCAAAGACGGTGAATGAACGTTCGGCCCCCTCACCCTGGTCGTTTGTTCCTTTTTATAAAAAGTGTCAGGGGATGTGGGACTGCTCGTTTTCAAACGTGGCATCTCGCTGGATCTTGAAAACCTGGACCTTCCACACGTGTAGCGCTGCATGGATCCATGACGGCTTTTTTTTTCAGCTTGGAGCTGTGGCCTGAAACTTCCTCAGAGCTCATGACCACAAGTGTACAACCACGCAACAATTACACGGATGCGGGGGCGGTCTTTCTTCGAAAGGGGCGTATCGTTGGACGCCTCGTTGGGCTGTCCTGATTACGCGCCGAAGAAAAAACACAAGGCGATTGCTTTGCAAGACGGGGCCCTCGACAAATTAGCAGGTTCAACTGCGCTGGTCTTTCATAGGGGGCGCCTCTGGCAATGAGAGGGCAAGCTTGAAGGGACGTGTGAAAAGGAGACTTCGAACGGGAGGGTGTATTGCAGCATCGCTGATGAGTATGTGGTCTCCTCTGGTCCTCGTCCTTCTTCTCCTCCTTCTCTTCCTCCCTTATTCCTACCTTCCTTCCTTTCATCCTCTTTCTCCCCAATTCTTCTTCCTTGCGAATGGATCCTCCCTGTCGCGCCCCGAGGCCAATCGGAAGGGCGGGCAAGGCGTTTCGCCTGAGACTTCCTTACCACTTATGAGCCTCAAGCTAAACAACAGACAGCAGGTTCACAGATGGATGGCGGGTGGTTTTCAAAATGTGGCTCTCGCCTTAGCGCCGCGTACATTCGCTTCAACAACTCGCAAGAGTTACACGGATTGAAGACAGGTGGTTTTCAAATGTGGCTCTCGCTGTAGCGCCGCGCATATTCAATTGAAACAGTTGCAAGAGTCTCACTGATTGACGGCCGTTCGGTTTCAAAATGCAGTTTTCGCCATAGCGCCGCGCACACTCGTTTAAAAGTGGTCAGAGCTTCACGGGTTGAGGGCGGCTCCTTTTCAACATGTGGCTCTCGCATTAACGCCGCGCACATTCTATGCAACTATGTGCAATAAGTTCGCTGCAGGGCTTGTGTTTCGGAACGTTTCAGGATTGTCAGGGCGCAACAGTTAATTCGCGGCGTCGGAGTCGCAGGAATGGCGTTCTGGCACGATGCAGGATCGTCAAGAGGCAACAGCTATGTTGACTTGCGGCGTTGAAGTCATGAGAACGGTGTTCCGGCACGCTTCGGGATCTTCAAACGTTTGTCTCCGTACGGGGCATTTCCCTCAGTGGAAATGAACCCTGCTGGGGGCCAATGAAAAAGGAGATTGGAGGGAGGGTATGTTCCAACATCGTTGCTGACAATTGGGTTTGCACCAGTCCTCCTCCTCCTCCTCCTCCTCCTCCTCCTCCTCCTCCTGTTCATCCTCCTCCATTCCTTCTCCTTCTACATAACTTCTCCCTGTCGCACCTCGAGGCCAGTCGAAAAGGCGGCTGGGCGTTTCGCCTGAGATTCCCCAACCATGTATGACCCTGAAGCTTAAACGTTGGCAACATGTTCACAGATGGGGGGGGTATTTTTCAAAATATGCCTTTTGTCTTAGCGCCTTAGCGCCGCGCGTATTGTTTTTAAACATACAAAGAGTTTCGCGGCCGGAAGGCGGGTCGTTTTCAAAATGTGGCTCTCGCCTTAGCGCCGCGCACATTTGTTTTAAACAACTGCAAGAGTTTCACGGATTGAGGGCGGTTCGTTTGCAAAGTGTGGTTCTCGCCTTAGCGCCGCGCATTTCAAACAATTGCAAGACTTCAGGATTTGAGGGCGGCTCGTCTTCAAAATATGGTTATCGCTTTGGCGCCGCGCGCATTCTTGATAACAAATTGCAAGAGTTCCACGGATTCCCACGATCAGCGTACCAGAAATGCTATTTTGGAAAGATTCAGGCTTATGAGGGCTAGCAGTTACGTTTATTCGCGGCGTTGAAGTCCCAATAATGGCGTTCTGGCGCGAAACAGGATCGTCAAGACGCAGCAGTCAAGTCGATCCGTGGCGTTGGAGTCCCGAGAATCACGTTTTGGCATGCTTCAGGGTCTTCGAACGGCTGTCTTCCAACGAGGCAGTACCCTCAGTGGACATGGCCTATGAGGAGGGCGCTTGGAGGGAGGGTTTATGCCAACATCGTTAATGATTATTGGGCTTACACGGGTCCTCCTCCTCGTCCTCCTCCCCCTGCTCCTGCTGATCCTCCTCGCGCTCCTCCTTCTCCTCCGCCTCCTCCTCCTCCTCCTGGTTCCTCCTTCCTCTCCCTCTCCTCCTCCTGATCGTTCCTCCTCCTTCTCCCTCCTCCTCGCTCCCGCCCGTCGGCCGAGCGGCTGGTGCCTGGTCCGCCCCGCCCGGGCGCAGCGGGCGCACCTCTGCGGCGGCGCCAGCGGCCTCGGCGCCCTCCAGAGATGCCAGAGAGAACGCGTCGACGCCCTTGAAGTTTGCCCTGTGTGAGACGAAGCCGGGACGAGGATCAAATCTCGGGAGCGGCCAAGAGGGGGGTGTCCAAGAGGGGGGGGTGCAAATCATGACCGGCGGCACGTGCGCGGCCCAGCGGGGGGGCCAGGGACGTAATGAAATAAGAAGAGGCGCCATGAAATCTGGGGAAATATCATGGCCCCCGCCATGATATCCACCCCCCCCTAGTCATCACCCCCCTCTTTTCCGCCCCCGAAAATCGAGCGGGACTACATCAGCAGCGAGCCCGGGGAAAGTGAGAAGGGGCGGGCGTTCTGAGAGGGCTCGGAAGTCCCCCAGCCTCCAGAAAAGTTTCCTGAGAGACACAACTAAACCTCTCCGAAGGTGCGCAGGCCTTCTCCTTCTCACTTCCCCCCTCGGTCACCGCCAGATAAGGAAGCCCAAAAAGGAGGCCCAAAACGGCCCCCGGGACGTTTCAAAACTGCCTCCCAGAGGCTCCGCCAGGCCCCCGAACAGCTCCCAAGACGCCGACAACAGTAGGCTCGCAGGCCTTCTCCTTCTCACTTCCCCCCCTCGCTCACCGCCGGATAAGGAGGCCCAAAAAGGGAGCCCAAAACGGCTACGGAACGTTTCAAAACTGCCTCCCAGAGGCTCCACCGGGCCCCCGAACAGCTCCCAAGACGGCCAAAACGGCCCCCGGGACGTTTCAAAACTGCCTCCCAGAGGCTCCACCAGACCCCCGAACAGCTCCCAAGACGCCCACAAGAGTAGGCTCGCGGGCCTTCTCCTTCTCACTTCCCCCCCTCGCTCACCCGTCGGATAAGGAGGCCCAAAAAGAGGGCCCAAAACGGCCCCCGGGACGTTTCAAAACTGCCTCCCAGAGGCTCCACCAGGCCCCCGAACAGCTCCCAAGACGGCCACAACAGTAGGCTCGCGGGCCTTCTCCTTCTCACTTCCCCCCCTCGCTCACCGCCGTATAAGGAGGCCCAAAAGGGGGCTCCCAAACGGCCCCCAGGACGTTCCACAGCTGCCTCCCAGAGGCTCCGCCATCGGGGGCAGCTCCCAAGGCGCCCCCGAGAGTCCCCAAAGAGTGTCCCGTTTTGCTCTCGTTGTTCCTCGCTTTGTCTTGGATTCGCCTCTGCTGCAAAAACGACGCCGAAACGCAAACGGCCCACGAAATCGCCCAAACACCGTTTAAGTCCGCCTTTGTTCTAGCGGTCAGCAGAATAGCGCAAGCCTTTCGAATAGCTCGATCATCTCTGAAATCTGGCGGCTCTGGAGGACGTGTCGGGGCACCGCGACCTTCTCAGAGCCTTCGGGAAAACTGTGGGAATGTTCCGGAAACCTCTGGAACGTATTCATCCTCGTCCTAGCCCCGTCCGCCTGTAGTACTCCCCGAAGTCCTGTGGCCCGGGCGGGCGGCGAAGCGAGAGAGTCGGCGGTGGACAAACCTCCCTTTAGTAAACCACCCTTTAGTGAAAACGGCCTGGGACCGAAACCGACGGGCCTGGACCAGCAAAAATGACGGCCGCGACGCCCTCTAGCGAGCCGAAAACGGCCAATTCGCTGGTCGACGTGTCAGGGTAGGAGGTCTATCAACCTCCGAGAGAGAGAGAGAGAGAGAGAGAGATAGAGAGAGAAAGAGAAAGAGACAGAGACAGAGAGAGAGAGAGAGACCTCGCACGTCGTCGTCGTTGTGTCGCGTCGCCGTCGGCGAGATCGGGACGACGAGGACGATTATTGTGCCGACGCCGGCGGCGACGACGACGCCTGTGACGGCGGCGGCGACTGCGGCAGAGGTTTCTAAGAGCAGGACGCCTTCGAGAATGAGCCCTTCCTCCTCCCTTCCTTCCTGGCGCCACAGTGGACAGGTCTCCAGAGGACGAGCAGGTGGCACGCAGGCCACGATAGCAACAGCGTCCGCTCTGGCCCTCGCCATCGCTCGGACGTCCATTCCCTGTGTTTTTTGTCGGTTTCGTGCGTGGGCTTTTCGCCAAGTGATCAAGGATGCTCCTCGATGGTCCTCGCCGAGAAAAAAATGCACACGTCCGAGCGATGCCAAGGGCCACAGCCCCCTCTTCTGAGCGGGGCAGACGAGCGGGGCGGCCGCACAGGCCCCTCAATCCGCTCCGCCTCCGACCACAGAACACCTACGCACGGACACGCGGTGGCCCACGGAGAGCTGACGACGACGACGACGACCACGACGACGACGACGACGACGACGACGACGACGACGACGACGACGACGACGACCGCGCCGGCTGAGACAACGACGGCGGAGGCGGCGACGGCGGCAGGGACGCTGGCGGCACAGGACGTATGCGACGACGGTCACCACCACCACCACCGGCACCGAGACGGCGGCGGCGCACCTGCCGCCTTGCACTAGAGAGTACGATGTCTCATGAATGGGGACCTGAGGCGTCAAACTCCCAAACGATTTCTCCCCCCACGGCAAGGAGGAGGAGGAGGAGGAGAAGAGGAGAAGAAGTAGAGGACGTCGAACGACCTGCCCAAAGCTCAAGAGGAAGCCAGAGCTGGACGTGGGCGACCGTGGGCCTCGCGACCCGTGGGCGGCCAAGCGTGGGCCACCCCCCGCACCCTGAAAAGGTAAGGAATGCGCCAGGGTCTGGGCCCCAGGAGGACGTTCCTCTTGTCCAGTGCCGCCGCCGTGCGGTGACGGCGGCGGCGGCGACCCCCCTGCAGGACAGAAGCATATAATTGAGGGCTTACAGAACGACCCTACCCTGGGTTACAAGTGCGTGGTCTTGAAACCTCCTGGGAACCCCCAAAGCCTAGAGCCGCCAGGACGCGGCACATCACGCAGGGTTTACCCTGTCAGCCCACAGGAGTTTCAGCGCACAGCGCCTCGTAAACCAGGGTAGGGGCGTTTTTTTATACCCTTGATATAATACGACAGGTAGGACAGACCAGTTGCGGGGCGATGGGCCACCTGGCTTCGGGCGTGCTGACTCCTTCCGGAAGCCTCAGCTCCACTCACGGTGCTGGCATTTCCTCTTCCATCCCCCTTCGTCCCCATCTCGCCCCTCCTCCCCCTCCTCCCCCCTTTTCATCCCCATCTCGCGCCGCCTCCTCGGTACGCGCCGCCGAGCCTGTAAAGACGACGACGACGACGACGACGACGACGACGACGACGACGACGACGACCACGTCGCGGATGCAATCCTGAGGGGCCCGCCTCGGGGCCCGAGAGCGCCCCCCGAGAGCGCCGAAGCACTCGCGGGAGAGCCTCGGTCGATTCTGCGCCCGCCGCCACGACTGCGACGACGACGGCGACGACCACGACGACGACGACGACGACGACGACGACGACGACGGCGACGGCGACGACGACGACGACGACCACGACGACGGCCGCCACCACGAGGGGGGACGAGACGCGGGGACTGGCTCAGGGGAGAATCCTGGGGCGTCGGACTTCGCTCCTTTCTGCTAACTTCGCGTGCCCCAGGAATCCTGGTCCGGGGCATCGGCTCGAGGCCTTTCCCCCGGGCTACGAGCAGCGGCCCAGTGGTTGCTCCTCGCCTGCGCACCCAAGGGGCGCTGAAACTCGGTAACGGTGCCCAGAGCAAAGATCTCTGGAGGAGGGGCCCCCGAGGGCCTGTGGGTAAAAACACACACACAAACACACACACACACACTGTGGGTAAAAACACACACACACAACAAACGCACACAACAAAAAACAAGCACAAAAAAATACACAGTCTGTGTGTGTGTTGTTTGTGTGTTTTGTGTACGTTGTGTGTTTTTACCCACAGACTGTGTGTGTGTTTTACAAGCTCGCGCGCGGCTCAGGGGAGAATCGTCGACTTGGAACCGGCGACGCTCCGCCGAGAGAACGTCGACGGGGCCTCGGTGGCGAAAGCGCACGCTCCCCGGGCGGGGCGAGCGGTCAGGCCCCCATCCTCGACGAGTGGGCACTTGGGGTGAGGTCGGGCCTGTCCCTCTACCGGGGGAATGTTCAAAAAGTAGTCCCCAAAAACTCTGGGGACTATTTTTTTGCATTTTTTGCCCATGTTGGGGTATGTGTTTGACTATGTTTTATTTTTCGTCGAAAATCCCCCTGTAGGGGGACACGCCCGACTTAAACTTAGGGGTCGATGTTGTCCCCCCTGAGCATGTCCTCCCTTGCCGTTCCCCATTGGCTTTCGGGTCATAGCTCGGCGGCGTTCGTTCGGGACGATCTGAGCACCCCCAGAACGCTTTCGACGAGACGGAGCTGATGGATACCACCCCTGGCCTCGAAACTCCTGAAGACTTCCGAAAACTTCTCAAAACTTCCGGTAACTTCCGAACGCTGTCTGCAAACTGCAACGGGGGAACCGACAGGTACCGATACCGCTGCTCTCTGGACCTCTCCGGGGGTGCGTTCTGACCTGAACTTCGAGGCGAATCCAGCGGTGGCGACGAGGGCCTCCCCGGAGGCCCACAAAGGTGAGAGCATCTGACACGTGCGCGGGGCTACACTGTCAATGCCACGCTGTCCTGTGGAGTTGCTGCGCTCCTGCTCCGAGCGCATGCCACTTGGGGCGGCGGAGAGCACTTGAGAGAGATCGATCCCACAACATCCACCACCATCACGAGTCGGGAGGACGTGAATGAAGGGGCCCAAGGGCACGCAAATAAATAGATACTTAATCCCAGGATTCCTTTTATCTTTCCGTATTTTCTAGATGCTCCTCCCTCCCTTTCCCGTACTTCCACACATTTACACTAGAACCACGCGCGCGCTTCGCGCGCGCTTAAGTTCTAGCGTGTCACAGAGACAGGAATCGCTGTGCGGAAAAATGTTTGGAGTCTGTCTCAGGCAAGTGAGGACTCCAGTGGCAACACCTGCTTGAGGCACCGCCGGGGACGGACCCTGTGCAGAGTGTGGAAAGTCGGACCAGCTCTCTGGTCGACCCTCTTGGGCGCCCCCTGGGGCTCTCTTGGACCGTTTTGGGGGGCCCATTGGGGGCTGTTTCGGGGCCTCTTTTGGTGTTTTTCTTGTCTCTTGGGGGCCTCTTGGGACTTCTTGGGCGCTTCTTGGAGCCTCCTGGGGTCTCCTGGGAGCCTCTTGGGCCAAAAGGCGCGAATCTTCGGTTTCTCGTCCTCGTCTTGGACGCCGACTTGGGGCGTTCTTGGGCGGTTTGGGCGCCTCGTGGGCCGTCTTGGCCCCCTCGTGGGCCGTCTTGGAGCCCTCTTGGGGGCATCCTCGACTGGCTTGGGTGCCTCTTGGGCCGTCTTGGGCGCAGTGGAAGCCCAAAAGGCGGACACGCCAAAAAAAAGCAGCTTACATACAGGATATCGGCGATGTTTGCTTATCGGGGCTCTTCTCGGGGTGCCCCTTGGGGCGTCTTCGGGGCCTCTTTTGGTGTTCTTGCGGGTCTCTTGGGGGCCGCGTGGGGCTTCTTGGGCGCTTCTTGGAGCCTCTTGGGGTCTCCTGGGAGCCTCTTGGGCCAAATGGCTCGCATTTTCGGTTACTCGTCCCCGTCTTGGGCGCCGACTTGGGGCGTTCTTGGGCGGTTGGGACGCCTCGTGGGCCGTCTTGGCCCCCTCGTGGCCGTCTTGGGGCCCTCTTGGGGGCATCCTCGACCGTCTTGGGTGCCTCTTGGGCCGTCTTGGACGCAGTGGAAGCCCAAAAGGCGAACACGCCAAAAAATATCAGTTTGCATACAGGATATCGGCGATGTTTGCTTATCGGGGCTCTCTCGGGGTGCCTCTTGGGGCGTCTTCGGGGCTTTCGGGACCCTGCTTGGCGTCATGGGAATTGTATTGAAAGGCATCCAGAGCCATCGGAGCGCCTTTTCGAGCGATCCGAAGCCATCTTCGGGCGATCTTGGACGGCCCCCGGCGCTCCGGCAGGGCTCCCGGCGCGCCGGGCCTCACATTTGAGGTCGGGGCTCCGGCCCCTGGCCCCCAGACCCGGTCCCTCGTTATGTGTATATACATATGTTTATGTTACATGTATATATATATATATATATATATATATATATATATATATATTCATATATATATATATACTACATGTAGACCACTTGTATTTACTATATATATATATATGTGTGTGTGTGTGTATCCCTGGGAGTCGTCGATTATTTGTGTCTGTGCTTGTTTCCCTCCTGAAGGAAAGGTGGGGCAGGGGAAGAGGTGGGGTTGGGAGGAAAACTGCTCCAAACGACCCCATGGAAGCCGGACATGTGAGCATCCAAGTGGCCTCGTTCCCTAACCCAACCTTGGGACGATTCCCCCTCCAAGAACCCCCGCCGCAAAATCAGAGGCCTCTCCAAATGGGGTCCGAGTAGATGGGGTCGGAGGATCGCGCCGCATCATCGATGCATCACCGATGCACCGGCGACACCTCGGCAACGAGGGGGATACATCGGCCTCGTCGCCGTCGAGAAAATCGGGCTCCACATGGCGCCACGTCGCCGATGCATCGGCGGTGCTGCGCGATCCTTCGACCCCCCGTCTGCTCCGACCCCATCTGGGATTAAGTCTGGCGTGTCCCCCTACAAGGGGGATTTGAGGGAAAATCAAAAATACAAGAAAAATAGCCCAAAAAGGTTGTTTTTTTGAAAAATATCCCCAAAAATAGTCCCTGGACTATGTTTGGCCTATTTCTTGGCTAGTTTTGTTTTTTTCATTTTTCGTCGACGATCCCCCTGGATGGGGGACAGGCCCGACTTAAGCCCAGAGGAAACTTCAGCCCAAAAATAGTCTGGGGACTATGTCTTGATTTTGTGTTACCTTTTTGACATATCTTAAAAGTATTTTTAATTTTTCGTCGGACATCCCCCTGTAGGGGGACAGGCCCGACCGAAGTCTGCTCCGACCCCCTCTGGGAGGCCCAGCGGACTATTTTCTGACTATTTCTTGACTATTTTGGGGGTATTTTTAAAAATTCTTCGTCGACGCTCCCCCTGGATGGGGGACAGGCCCGACGTACGCCCAGATCGAGGACGCGAGGCGAGCGGCCGCGCGGTGTCCTCCGGGCCGCCGGGCGCGCGCGGCCCCCAGGCGTCGGCGCGCGCCCGCTCCAGGAAGGCCGCGCAGGCCCGCAGCCGGGCGTCCACCTCGCGGGGCGGCGGCCACCGCTGGCGGCGGCGGCGGCGGTGGCGGCGGCGGCGGCGGCGGCGGCGGCGGCGGCGACGACGACGACGACGACGACGACGACGACGACGACGACGACGACGACGACGACGACGGGTCGGGCGGGCGGGTCGGGCAGGCAGGGCGCTGAAGGAGGCCGCGGACGTCGTCGAGGGCGTCGACGTCGACAGCGACGCCGCGGACGTCGTCGAGGGCGTCTCGCGGCGGCGGCCGGCGGCGGCCGACGGCGGCGGCGGCGGCGTCGACGTCGACGGCGACGCCGCGGACGTCGTCGACGAAGGGGCCCCAGGACACACGAAGAAATACACACAAAGAAAGATATCCCCCATAGTTTCCCATTCTGCGTTTCCGTCTTGCCCCCCACTTCCCATGTTTTCCCATTTTTTCTAGGGAATGGACGATTAATTGTGTCTGTGCGTTTTTTCCCCTTCTGAGTCGAGGGCGTCGACGTCGACCACGCCAACGACGCTGACGTCGACAGCGACGCCGCCGACGGCCACGCCGACGGCGCCGACGCCGACGACGACAGCGACGCACTCGGCGTCGGCGGCGTCAGCGTGGGCGTCAGCCTCGTCGTCTCCCTCGCGCTGATCGCCGACAGCGGCGACGGCGATGACGCCGAGAGGGACGAGGGCTAGGACAGCGACAACGAAAGAGGAGGACGTGGCCGAGGACAGAAACGGCGTTGCTGGTCCTCCCCCTCCTCCTTTTCCTCCTCCCTCCTCCTCCTCCTCCTCCTCCACCTCCTCTTCCTCCTCCTCCTCCTCTTCCTCCTCCTCTTCCTCCTCCTCCTTTGAGCAGGCGGCGTTCTGTCTGAAGTGGGCAATGTCCGCGGCGACGCCGACAGCGAGCCCTGCTCAAGATGGGCAGGCACTGCTGCTGGTCTGCGTCCCCATCCTTCCCCCGCCCATCTAAGTCGTGCCGACTCCTGCTCATCCCCTCCTTCCCGCCTCCGGGCCCCCGCAGACGGGGACTCCGATGAACCAGGACACTGGTCCCGCGGCACTGGCCTCGCGGTGTCAGTTCCGGCTCCCGCCATTCCCCATCCACTCCTCTCCTCGGAGCACCTGCAACAATCTCTTCGCGCCAGCCACACCGCCTTCGTCGCATGGCCTCGCATCACAAGACCGAAAATCAAGAATTGTTTCTCACTTCCGCACACGCGCCATGGCAAGGTAAGTGAGTATCCAACTCACGCCACGCCCTCTTTCAAGGTCCGCTGTGACTGCTCCACCACATGTTCGTCCTGGCGCGGTGCGCGCTGCTATCGCCGACGACGGTGCGATCACGAACTGAGTGCGAGTGACACTCAACACCGCATGCTTCCGAGACCCGTCGAAGAACCACGAGGGCTCCCCAAAGGCTCCAACACAAATGTGAGGGTCGGCGGATGCGGCGCAAGCCTAAATGATTTTGAGTTGATTCTGGACCTCTTCCTCCTCCACCTCCTCCTCCATCCGTCTCCCAACTTCCTCCTCCTCTGCCTCCTCCTCCTCCTCCCCCTCCTCCTCCTCCTCCTCCTCCTCCTGCTCCTGACCTTCTGCTCCTTCTCTCTTCTTCCTCCCCCTCCTCCTCCTCCTCCTCCTCCTCCTCCTCCTCCTCATCCTCCTCCTCCTCCTCCTCCTCCTCCTCCTTCTCTCCCCCCCTCCCTTCCTCCCTCCCCCCCCCGCCCCCGAAGGGAGAGCAGCCCGTGCGCCCCGCCTGCCTGTCTCCCCCGTACCCCCCTGCTTCCGCCACCATCGCCGAGCCGCCCTCGCCCGGCGGCCACCCCCAGTCTGTGGGAAAAAACACACTGTGGGAGAAGACACACACACACACAAACACACACACACAAACACACACACACACACACACACACACACACACACACACACACACACGCCTGTGTTTTCCCACAGCGTGCGTTTTGTTCCACACAGTGTGTTTTTGCTGTGTGTGTTTTGTGTGTTTTGTGTGTTTGTGTTTTTTGTCCCAGAGACTTTTGTGTTTGTGTTTTTTTTCCCCACCGTGTGTGTTGTTTTCCCATTGTGTGTGTTTGTTTTGCCCAATGAAGAAGGCAAAACATCCTGTTGGGAGTAGGGTTCGGTCGGGCATGTCCTCCTACAGGCGGATCTTGGGACGAAGTATATAAAAAGTAAAAAACATACCCCAAAACAGTCCACATATTCTAACAAAAATCGCCCCCAGACTATCGTGACTGTCTTTGAATATTCCGCCTGTAGAGGGACAGGCCCGACTTAAGAGTAGGGAGCTGGGAAGATGCTTGAGAAACGAATTATATACACCGACGCTTTTTCCGGTCCTGCACTGAAGCTTGCACAGGAAAGCGGATCCTGGTGCATAAAGGATCCTGGTGTATGCATTTTGCGTCGTTCCCCTGGAAGACGAAGAACAAATATACGCCAACCACCCCGACGTCGTCCCCGACCCTCGAAGAGTCTGGGGACTGAAAGACAGCCCGAGATACGGGTCACGACTATATACACACACATACATCCAACATAAGCGACAAGACGGATGGTCTGATCAGTTCTCCCAGTCCCATCCTCCCAGCCCAGTGATTATCTTTCTGACCCAGCAGAGCCCTCCTAGATAGGGTCCGAGTAGATGGGGTCGGAGGATCGTGCCGGATCGCCGCAACATCGCCGATGCATCGGCGACATCGGAGGTGCATCGGCGACGTTGGCGTGGAGAAAAACAGCCCCCGAATCGAGCTGCATCGGCGATGCATCGGCGATGCGGCGGCGATCATCCGACCCCATCTGTGACCATCGTTCCACCAATCCCCATCCACAGCCGCGTAGCTTGGGCCCAACTGGCCGATTTACACCCTTAGATGGGGATATAGGCCGTTCCCTTCGGGTTTCGAGGGGCGTATCCCCAGTAATTTGGTGGGGGTCTCGAAGGGGATGGGGATGGGGATGGAGGGCCGGTTAAACAGCACTGATACTCTGACCCTCTCTGGGGACTCGGCGGTGGACAAACCTCCCTTTAGCAAGCCTCCCCTTAGTGAAAACGGCCTGGGACCGAAACCCGCGGACCTGGCCCCCCAAAGAATGACGGCCGCGACGCCCTCTCGCGAACCGAAAAGGGCCAATCCCTGAATCGACGTGTCAGGGCAGGAGGTCTGTCCACCTCCGATCTCAGCTGCACCGCTACGCAACACGCCACACGTGTCGTAATGGTGCGATGCTCAACACGCAGGCCGAAAACGCAGGTCCGAGGCGCTACGTCCGCCAAAACGTGGGCCAATACGCGGACCCAACGCGCAACGTATCGACACGGGCGTCTTGACCACGGGACGTGCTGCGCTTCAAGACGGGCGCATCGAGGCAACTGCGCCTCCGATCCAGCCCCGAGCGCCGAGAGCCGCAGCTGTCCGGCGCTCCCTCCTCCTCCCGCCTCCTCCTCCTCCTCCTCCTCCTCCTCCTCCCTCCTCCTCCTCCTCCTCCTCCTCCTCCTCCTCCTCCTCCTCCTCCTCCTCCTCCTCCTCCTCCTCCCTCCTCCCTCCTCCTCCTCCCGCCTCCTCCTCCTCCTCCTCCTCCTCCTCCTCCTCCTCCTCGGTCGGTCGGTCGGCCACAAGGGAATGAGTCTGAATCCCAAACGAAGCTAGATGAGAGCAGCGATGGCAGAGAGAAAAGCGGCGAGGCAGCGATCGCGGCAGCGGGCAGGCCTCTCGGGTGAAACTAAAGTCCCCCCCCCCATATGTCCAAAGCTCGATCCCACCACCATATCAAGGCCACTTTAAATGCCCCGATCCTGACGTGGGCAAGTAGAACATCCCAGGCGTACGGCAGCTTAGTGAGTAACGCCGCTGGGGGAGGGCGCCACCATCAAGTAGTCAGGGACGGGCTGGCCATTCATCAGGTTACTGATCCCCCCATAGAGGATCGAAAAAAATACCTTCACCTGATTACTGCGAGTTAGAGTGCCGCGCACACCGCCAGCAAAACGTGACAAACCTGGACAGCGAGTTAAGGTGCCGCGCACACCCCAGGCGTCAGAAAAAACAGTCACACACATACCTTCCCCGAGGGTACTGCGAGAGTTAGCGGTGCCGCGCACACCATGTGCTTGTCAGGAGGGAGATGGTGGTGTCACTTGGGCGAAATCACGACCACGCCTGAAATCATAGAAAGGATCCAGGGGCACAAAGAAGGGCTCAAACTCCTCCCCGAGGTCCCAAGGCGGCGGTCCAGGATCGGGCCCGAACTGGTCCTGGATAGCGACAAAAACGCTCATGGCCATCAAACGGCACATCTCCGAGGGATATGTTTTGGCCCGCGCAGTCTGCCAAGCTCCCGTAGAATCTCGGCCCTGGAGGACCTGGACGTGCGCATTGTGTTGGCATCTCCCCTGGTGCGGCAGCTCACTAATCATCTGATTGAGCCTGGGGACATGAACACCCAACAGGGCCGTAGGTTTCTTCGCACAAAGCCCAAACATGCACTGGTCAATCCTGTGTAGTTTGACCCCCATCTGTCGGGCCAGCTTTGAAAGGACGGGGAGATGCCAACTGCTGGGAACATTGGGACGATGCTCGGCCGGGGCGGGGTGCTCCATGATCGCTGGTAGTCCAAGCTTCCAAGCGGAAATCAGAAATTCAATGGTGGTTCTTAGCAAGGCGTTCCCCACCCCGACCTGTTCTCGTTCCTTGGGAGTGATGTACTTTAACCCCCAGAGCTCACTAGGCGCCCTCAGTGGCCGAGGATGCGGGCCAACGGCTTCGGGGGGAACAGGGTTGTGACGAGCAGCACTCCAAGTCTCACAGGGGGGGCCAGCGATGACCCCAGCAACCCACCCCTGCTCCATAAGACGTAACCAAAAAGCTACCGTGGAAACATCACTTAAATCACCATACTTCGGACTGTAAGCAATATCAATAGAGAGCACAACAACTGGGGTGGGATGCTGAGCAACAAGTCTCTCAATCCAATCCTGCACGTCGTCAGCACGCCGTTGG